TCCCGTAGCACTCGAACATAGGGGTATCAGATCGCAGAGAACGAAGACCACCCTCATGGCCATGCGTCTCTTGAAGAAGAATGCACGTAGCACTGCGAGCAAGAGTATGTAACCGCTGCCACTTGAGATCCTGCCGCGAGGACTCACCACCAACAGCCACAACGAGAGTCTGGACATTCCAGGAGTAGAGTTCGAACCTTTGCTTAACTTCATATGGATGGGAGCGAAGATGCTGAACTTGGCAATCGAATTCACGCGCGCTATCGCCAGCTGAAGAGCCAGAAGATGGAGAGGAAGTCGAAGATGAAGAAGGGACGTGCACTGCAGCAGGAGATTGCTCTACGCCAGCCCCCCCCCCCCCCCCCCCCCACACGCACGCACACGCACGCACGCGCGCCCCCCGCCGCGCCAACGGAGCGACAAAATCGGGATTATCTCGTCCATGTGACGAGCTCACCTCCTAATGCGAGGAAGCGGGGCTAGCAACAATAGCGGTGATGGCATTCAAGTCCATGCCTCGGGCCTGGATCTCGGACGGGTTGGGCGCGACGATGTAGCGGCCGAGGGAGTCGACCCCAGCCTTTAGCACGGGGTAAACTTCCACCTCCTTGATGACCCAGAACTCGTTCCTGAAACCGCTACCAGACATGGGCATATCCTGCGTCCAAAGATTCTTCGCGACCAGATGCTGCTTGATCGGATCGTAGTACTTAGCGAGAGCCCGCTGACGAACTCGAACATCTTCAGGCAAATACTGGCGAGCTTTAGTGTGGAACTTCACCTGCGAACGTGGATCAGACCACGTGGCACTGCTGCGATTGAGCATGGTACGAAACTCTTTAGCAGCTTCCGCATTCTCGAACTTCAACATGTAGCTATGACTGATGGCAGCTAAGTAAGTCTCCGTCCACGTGCGATTATCAGCAGGAATTTGCGCAGCCATCTCGGTATGCCATTTCTCGCGCTGAGCACGAAGCGCGGGGCGAAGCCATCCATTCATCCATACCATAGAATCATTCGAATCCGCCGTCGTAGTGCCCACAGCAGAACCCTGCCCAGTTGAGAGAAGACGCCGCTTGAGACCACCCTGTGATACCTTCGAGGGAGCGCCAACTGAAGAACCTGCAGTGGTCTGCTTATTCTCCAGCGTCGTCATCCGCTCCTCGAGAGCCGCAGTACGATTATCGATGGTCTCTTTCACCTCTTTCGAGATGCCATCTTTGAACTTTGGAAGACTTTCTTTCATCTCAGTCACCTGCCCAGTGAGAAACTGGAATGCCGAAGTCATCTTCTTCATTTCCTCAAGCACCGCGCTCATCTCCGTCGCCATGACTGCAGCGACACGGGAGGCGAGCAGAAAACTTGGGGGGCCCGCCTCAGTCTGACCTCAGGACCGCCTCCTCGCGGGAGGTCGCGGCACTCAACCTGGGGCCTGTCCCCAACCTTGAGCCAAAATGGCAACGGATGATGATGATGATGATGATGATGATGATGGTGATGGGCAGAGGCAGGAGGGGGAGGAGGAGAGGAGGAGGAGGAGGAGGAGGAGAGGAACGCGGGGCACCGTCTTTTCAAAACGAGGACCCAACACCACAGGATGCTTGGGAACAAGGAATGGCGAAGCGGCCGGCCCCTCACGGGGCAGCGGCCGGGGGCGGGCTGACGCGGGGGCAGCGGGCAGCAGCGGGGGCAGACGAACGGCGGGGGGCAGCGGGGAGGCGGCGGCTGCAGGGCAGGGAACCGGGCGGGGCGGGCAGCGGACGCGGAGCTTCAGGAGGGCGACGCCACGCCAATGAGGCGGGCGTCAAGGGGCGGCGTGCGCAATCGCGGCGGGCCACGCCAAACTTAGGCGGGAGAGGCCTCGGCAAAGACCCAGAGGCGGGCGGCTGGAGCCGGAAAACACACACGCACACACATACAACACACACGCACACAAACTGGCTATGCATGCACTTCAACACTACAAAACAAAAGACAAATGGATTCCCACCACAATTCTGACATACGTTCTGCCAGAACCCGCATGTTCATCTCACCATCTGGCGCATCCGCGTTGATCACGCGCGTGCTCAACGCGCGATTTCGTGTCACATAAAATCTATGCGCGCCACACGCACGCACGCGCCGCCAAGAACACGTGTCGATACGTTGACAAAACCAGCTCCCGAAACATTATCAGATCGGACTTTTCAAATACATATTGCATTTCTGCACGATGAGCGCACTTCCTCACCATCACCTTCACCAGCGCCACCGCATCACCGCCGTTATCGTCATCGCCGATCGCCACCATTGCTGCCATCATCACCGAATCACGTTCATCACCATCGGCGCCGTCATTGGCCTTGCCGTCGTCATCGTCACTATCGCCACCACCATCATTACGATCCTATCATCACCGTCGCCATTGTTGTCGACGACATTCTGATACCGCGCCCGCCCGAATCACCAGCCTGCACGCCATCGCGGCATGTGACGCGCGCTGGGAAGTTCCCATCAATAAATGTTATCGCGGCCGCGTCGGCTGTGCCAGACCAGCTGGCCGCTGTGTGCGCAAGCTTGCGCGCGCTAGCGCCACCGGAAAGATGCGCGAACCAGTGCCAAATAGTCACGGCAATCGCGGCCGCATGGGTTGTGCAAAACAGGTTGCGGGTACGCGAGCGGGAATGATGGCGCGAGCAGTGGAGCTGACGACTTCAATTTTACTACGGCGCATTGTACAACACATGTTCTCTTTTCATCAAAAAGAGCGTTAACGCAAACGCTGTCCTTGGCTTTGCAGTCGTCATCGTCATCATCGCCACCACCATCGCCACTATCATCAACGTTGCCGCCGTTGGACGACGTCATTCTGACACCGCGCCCGCCCGAAACAACGACTTGCACTGAAGTGCCCGCGCGCCAGTGCGGCCTGTGAGACGCGCTGGGGCGCCCTCATCGGCAATCGCCATCGTGGCCGCATCAGTTGCGCAAACCATCTGGCTGCTCTCCAGCCAAAGCCTAACACATGCGCAACCGTGGCCGCATTGGTTTGGCAAAACGAACAGCGGATGAGAGGACGGGGCATTTTGGCGAGCAGCGGAGTTGACAAACTACTACTTTTTAAGTCGCACATCGTAGATGGCTGCACAAAGAGAGGGCGCCACACCCTGACAATCAACCCATATGTCAGCTCGAAACCCGCGGGAATCGAAGTAGGATGTAGGCTAAGCTCGCCCTACAAGCGCTCGTCATTACGTGTGCATGGGCCCCGCTGTGCAGAGCCTCTGTCTCTGGCGAAATGCGACCTGCGGGAAAGGAGCGAACCAAACTGAACAAAATCAAACCAACCAACCCGAGAGAGAAGATGAGGAGGAAACGGAGGAGAATAACTGAAAAGCATACAGCCAGAACCTAGGACCTGACGCTCCGAAGGATGGTGCACAATACGAAACTCGCTCCAGGCTCCGACACGTGGCGGCCTCCGACCAACAACCGAGCAGCCCGAGCAACGACGGGACTGTACGGGCGCAGCAACGGCCGATGGCACGTAGGTAAGAGGAAGGAGGGAAACAAGGGAAGAAGAGGCGCGGGTGAGCAGAGATAGTGGAGGGGCGAGGAAAGAGCGGGAGAGGGGTTGGCCCGCCACCCTCAAGCCAACGGCTGAAAGCGGAACAAGATCACTGCATGCTGCGGATACGCATGTCAATGATACTAAGCACGATGTGGTTTCTTACGTCTTGCGGCATGCCGCCGCCCCCGGCGGGACACCCACGCGCGTGCGACGCGGGCGAATACCCGTCGACCAGAGCAACCAATCCTCGATCAGAACGAAGTAGCGTTGGGACTCCTCTGCAATTATCTGGAGACACTCTTCACCGGTGCTGACGATAGGCCTACCACGCGCATTGAACCTGGCGTTGATCAAAGCCTTCAAGCCCATACGTTTCCGCGCCGCCCGCGTGCGCCAGCCCTGGGAAGCGCGACCTGGGGGAACGTCTGGCGCCGTGTTCATGTGGGGGCGCCACTCCCAGCGCTTCAACCTGGCCCCCGGGAACAGCGAGCAACGACCGGTGCTCCAGAGCACGGAAACCGAACTCCTGACGGCCGCGCACAAGGGCGATGGTGGGATGGTCGCGGGCGCGGTCGTGCTCTGGCAGCCGCGCGCTGCCACCAGCCAGCAGTTCGGCGAGGTGAGCGGCGCCCCCGAGCGAAGACGAGCTCCACGCAAGAGAGCCCAAAGCGCCGCCATCCCACAGGAAAAGCCAATCAACTGCAGGGGATGCCGGACAGGCGGCGGCCAAACCGACATCAGACAATCTGCGGCGAGGCCCGCCTCGTTCGGAGCTGGCGGAGCAAACGCGGCTTGGGAACTCCTCGTGGACACGATGGTTTGCGAGAACGTTGAGCGCACACCCGCAAGGCAAGACGACGCCATCAATATCCCGATGGCCAACGTGTGCCAGGAATACCTTCACTAGGTTGCTGATGAGTTCGTTTAAGGGATGATGTGCTGAGGCGGCCAAGTTGCGTTGGTTATCAACAGACTTGCATGAGAAACCTTCAAGGCTTAATTAAACTAGATATAAAATAATCAGATGATCGGAATTGGTGCCACATGCTGTTGGAACTTTCAAACGTACGCGTTGCGTCTTCTACTAATGATGGCGATGGCTCGCCGTACGCAATGCACCCCATCATAATGCTGGCCCAAAACTTGCTAACCGTCATGCCGTAATCCTGACCATCAACGTGGGAATCTTGCATCGAGGCGACGCATTCCTACCACGTGCCAGTTGCGTTTGGAAGCCGAGTGACCTCTGGGAGAAGCTCGGCAACTCGGATAAATAAGGACGATGCGATACTGGAGGCGGGTAACCGCTTGCATGCGACCCAGCGAGCCACCATGCACGTTAAACACACCATCGTTATCACCTGCGTCGTATGATATGGTCAAAGCGCTGTGGAATATCGGTGCGTGGTGCCCGAGCGTAGCGTGAGCCTTTTGATGATCAACAAATGCCATGTCTCAATGACCCAAATTTCAATGAACACGTGAGGCAGGCGGTCAAGATTACCTTGAGGCCACCCCGGGCTGACAAACACGGCGTGTTTAAAGTGGTTGGGACACGGGCCATCGTCGCACACGCAAAGTCTGGGAGCGCATACATTGCTGCGCGCCACTCGTCATGATAGGTTGGCGACTCCGCACAAGGGCCCAAATAACGAATGCTCACAGCTTACCTCAACGCCTTTTTTCCAGATGGCGCAAGGGGGCCGCACTACAGCTGCTACCGTGCAGTGCTGCCCCGAAGCCCACCGCCCGCTTGCACGGCGAGAGCGTTAGGGCCCTGCCCCCGGCGAGAGGCAGTGAGAAAGAAAGCGTGCGCGGATGCTAAAACGACTTTGGAATGCGCGCGTACGCAAGATACAGCGCTTACTACCTTGTCTCCGAATTATTTGTTGCGGCAACTACCCGTGACTTGTATTGCCCCGGTGCGCGGTACAAGCTGACGTTTCGGCACGATGCCCAGGGCGAACGTACTCATCACAATCTGGCTGCACGTCTCCCGAGAAGCGCGGAATGCTTGCTGCCCCACCCAGTCCGCCCTATCCAGAAGGCAGGCGCACACTGCGACTTGCACAACAAATTGTTAGTTGTTTGCAAACAAAAAACGTTCCGACTCTCTTGGACTGTATTCCCGGTGGACTGGTCGTGCTTTGGTTTACTTAGAGATGGGGGGAGGGTGGCATGCGCCGCTCTTCTCCTGGAACGGGTTGAGCGCACTTCTCCTGATTCTGGAAGAACCGAGGCGCGAAATCCTCGAGCTGCCAAATGCCTTGGTTCCTCCCCCCCTTACCCTCCGCAACCACCAGCTCCCGGCTGCCGTGGGGCCCACGGCTCGGCGCGCCTCCACCTTCGTCGGGAGCATCTGAATCTCGGCGGGTCGGCGAGGAGAATGTGCGCACATTGCCCCTGGTCACCATCCCATCCTTCCTCCTTTTCCTCCTCCTCCCTCCTACACCCTCCTCATACGTCCTCCTCCATCCATCAGCGCTTTTTGTCTTCCAGCCTCAGTTCTCCTCCCTCATCCTGTTACTGCTGCTGCTGCTGCTCTTCCTCCTCCTCCTCCTCTTCCTCTACCTTCCTTCGTCTGCCGTCCTCCGTCCTTCTCTACCTCATCGCATTCCTCCTCCTATTATTCCCCTCTCCTCCTCCATCCCCGTGCCCGATACATAGCTTGTCGTCGTCGTACCGCCAGGCGTGTCGGTAAGGAGGGCCGAGCGTTTCGCCTGAGACTTCCTCACCACTTCGGCACTGAAACTTGAATCCCACCATCCCTCTGGGATTAGGTCCAAGTGTGGGCTAACGGTGTGGCCGGTTACCGGTGCGAGCACTCAACGCGCGCAGAACATAATGTAGGTAAGCATGAGCCACAGTTTCCCATATGCGAATGTGCCGAGAGAAGACGGCACGACGAATTGTACAGAAGCGCGAACCACACGTTCCCAAATTCGGTTCGGCCAAACACAAAACGCTCGTACAATGACGAAAACAAGCATGAAAGCCGTTAGCCCGTCTAGGTTATCTAACAAGTTGATTCTTCCCTTTTCCAGACCCCCTTCTTCCCTTTTGGGGACGGGTTCATCATTACTCTTATGTATATACACATGCTCCCCACCCGACCAGCGACAAACCTGGGACCATGCGCCTCCCTCTCGCCATCCACGTCAAACAACAATACAACGTGCAGCTTGCATCAAAATCTAGATCATGCGCGGACGCCCCTATGGCTTTGCAATTTGGCTTTTGACTGGAACGGCGGGGGTGCCGGCATATTGCCTGCTGCGCGCAATGCCAACACACCCCAAACCATCCCTGGCAAAAAACAATACAAAGTGCACTTTGCACCAAAATCTGGATCATGAGAGGACGCCCCGCGATCACTGGGCAAGAACGGCGGGGGGACAGCGTATTGCCTGCATTGTGCAATGCCAGCACTCCTTCAACCAACCGTTGCAAAATTAGCCTGACAAAGAACCCAACCATATGCAGTTGTGGGTACAGCCGTTGTATGCACCGCATTCGGTGGAGCTCCCTATGAGGCCGCGAAGCGTGTGAGGAGCGTGCCAAAATGGGCGCGGTGGGAGCATGCGAACGCTGGCACTTGTGCCACCGAGGCCACGAAACGTGTGCGGGGTGTGCCAGAATGGACGCGGCGGGCGCATGCGACCGCTGGCATTTGGGCCTCCGATGGGGCTCCGTGTGGGGCCACGAAACGTGTGAGGGGCGTGCCAAAATTGGTGCGGTGGGCGCATGCGAACGCTGACACTTGTGCCTTCGGTGGGGCTCCCTATGGGGCCACGAAGCGTGTGAGGGGCGTGCCAAAGTGAGGAGGGTGCGCGCATGCGAACGCTTGCATTTGGGCCTTCGATGGGGCTACCTATGGGGCCACGAAGCGTGTGAAGGGCGTGCCAAAGTGAGGAGGGTGGGCGCATGCGAACGCTGGCATTTGGGTCTTCGGTGGGGCTTCCCACGGGGCCACGAAGCGTGTGAGGGGTGTGACAAAATAGGTGCGGTGGGCGCATGCGAACGCTGACACTTTGGCGTTCGGTGGGGCTCCCCATGGGGCCACGAAACGTGTGAGGAGCGTGCAAAAATGGGCGCGGTGGGCACATGCGAGCGCTGGCACTTGTGCCTTCGGTTGTGCTCCCTATGGGGCCACGAAACTTGTGAGGATTGTGCCAGAAAGAGGGGGGCGGGAGGAAGGGGGAGGGGGGGGAAGAAGGGAGCAGCGGGGGGAACGCGGGGACCGTCCCTTCAAAACGAAGACCCAACACCACATACTGGTTGGGAAAAACAACGGGTTCATGCGCGGAGGTCCCGCGATCACTTCCCATGTGTTATTGGCAGGAACGGCGGGGGGCCCGCATATAGCCTGCTGGATGCAGTCCCACCATTCGTTGCAAACGACATTAGCCTGCCGAAGAACCCAACCATATGCAATTGTGGGTACAGCCGTCGTATGTACCGCATTCGGTGGGGCTCCCTATGAGGACGCGAAGCGTGTGAGGGTGTGCCAAAATGGGCGCGGTGGGCGCATGCGACCGCTGGCATTTGGGCCTTCGATGGGGCTCCCTGTGGGGCCACGAACCGTGTGAGGGGTGTGACAAAATTGGTGCGGTGGGCGCATGCGAACGCTGACACTTGTGCCTTCGGTGGGGCTCCCTATGGGGCCACGAAGCGTGTGAGGGGCGTGCCAAAGTGAGGAGGGTGCGCGCATGCGAACGCTTGCATTTGGGCCTTCGATGGGGCTACCTATGGGGCCACGAAGCGTGTGAAGGGCGTGCCAAAGTGAGGAGGGTGGGCGCATGCGAACGCTGGCATTTGGGTCTTCGGTGGGGCTTCCCACGGGGCCACGAAGCGTGTGAGGGGTGTGACAAAATAGGTGCGGTGGGCGCATGCGAACGCTGACACTTTGGCGTTCGGTGGGGCTCCCCATGGGGCCACGAAACGTGTGAGGAGCGTGCAAAAATGGGCGCGGTGGGCACATGCGAGCGCTGGCACTTGTGCCTTCGGTTGTGCTCCCTATGGGGCCACGAAACTTGTGAGGATTGTGCCAGAAAGAGGGGGGCGGGAGGAAGGGGGAGGGGGGGGAAGAAGGGAGCAGCGGGGGGAACGCGGGGACCGTCCCTTCAAAACGAAGACCCAACACCACATACTGGTTGGGAAAAACAACGGGTTCATGCGCGGAGGTCCCGCGATCACTTCCCATGTGTTATTGGCAGGAACGGCGGGGGGCCCGCATATAGCCTGCTGGATGCAGTCCCACCATTCGTTGCAAACGACATTAGCCTGCCGAAGAACCCAACCATATGCAATTGTGGGTACAGCCGTCGTATGTACCGCATTCGGTGGGGCTCCCTATGAGGACGCGAAGCGTGTGAGGGTGTGCCAAAATGGGCGCGGTGGGCGCATGCGACCGCTGGCATTTGGGCCTTCGATGGGGCTCCCTGTGGGGCCACGAACCGTGTGAGGGGTGTGACAAAATTGGTGCGGTGGGCGCATGCGAACGCTGACACTTGTGCCTTCGGTGGGGCTCCCTGTGGGGCCACGAAGCGTGTGAAGGGCGTGCCAAAGTGAGGAGGGGGACGGGAGGAGGGGGGAGGAAGGGGGCAGCGGGAGGATGAGAAGTGAACGCGGGGACCGTGTTTTCAAAACGAAGACCCAGCACCACAGGATGGTAGGGAAATGCAGAATTTACTTTGTCAGGGACGGCGGGGAGGGCGGCATACTGCCTGCTGTGTGCGAGCCTACTATCACTGTCAAAGACAAGCGGGCGCACACCCACACGCACACAGATACACAATGCACAATGCTCGCAAACTCGTCGTCTCTGTGCATTGGCTTGTAACAAAAATCATGGGGCAGTCGACATATTTCCCAATGTGGCGCACCTGGTGCGCGTGGTGCACCTGGCATGTGCGGCGCACCTCGCGGGCATCGCGCACCTGGCTGGCGTCTGCACTGTTCCCGATAGTTGTCGATGGCGGCCACTGCCTGTGCTGAGACTCGGGTGCTACTTAAGTAGTGGGGAAGCCGTTGGGACTGAGCGAAACGGCTTGCGGCTTGGGGTAGCTCGACCCTTCCTCCTACCCCCCTCCCAAGGTCTGGACGGGGGCCAGACGGAGGTGGCAGAGGGCCCGTGTTGGCCCAAGATGGCTCCAAGAGGGCCCCCGATGTTTCAAGATCGCTCAAGACAGCCAAACATTTCAACATATCTTCGAAAGAGCGCGCATGCAGGGCCGGGAATAAGAAAAGGGGTGCCCTGGCTTCAAGCTACTCCCCCCTACCTTGAAGGGGGGGGGGCTTCCGAAGCTTCCCCTCCCCTCCCCCTTGGGACGGCATTTTGTAGCCGGGGAGGCCCAAGCTGAAAGGGGGCGGGCTTGGAAACAACACCCCGCCCTCCACCCCTTTTCGATCGCGGCCGGGGGTAAGCCTGGGCTCCTCTTTCCAAAGGGGGCGCTTCCGAAGCCAGCCCCCCCTCCCTGGTGGAAGGGGGGGGGCTTCGGAAGCTACCCTCCCTTTTTTCGGGGCCCGGGGTAAGCCCTTGCCAGGGAGGGAGGGGCTTCCCAAGCTCCCCCAAGTCACTTGTGTGCCACAGAGGGGGGTGCATTGCAAAGGGGGAGGGAGCTTCTAAGCTTCCCCCTTCCCTCCTCCTTGTCGGAGCCGAAGATCTGCACGGGCTCTCCTTTGCAAGAGAGTGGTGGGCTTCGGAAGCTACCCCATCCCTTTGTCAAGCGTGATCTACCCACGGATATCGGAAGGGGATTCAGAACTGCGCGGCCAGGGAACGTTCCAAGCACCTCAGTTGGGCGATGGGCAGTGGCAATGCTGCAGATAGCAGTGGTAATGCGACTGTGCCATGGAGCTGTGTTGTGCTTCTCTGCGCTTTGCTGCGCCGCACAATGACGTGCCAAGGGACGCGCCACGGAGCGTGCTAGTGGACGTGCCAAGGAGCCAAGGAACGCGCCGCGCAATGTGTTTAGCAATGCTGAAGGTATCGATCGTGATGTACAGTGCTGAGGTTCTGCTGAGCTTTGCCGTGCTGAAATAAGATGTGTCATGTCGCGATGACGTGCGTTGTGCTCCATAGCGTTGTGGATCAACGCGCCCTAGCATCCGAATCCTGATCGAACTGATCTGGAACTCAAGCTCGAGCTGCCTGAGCGCATAGCTGGCCCAGAGCTGGTTGCAGTCGAAACGTGCGGGGCGCTCAGTCAGCTCGAGCTCAAGGCCCGACTCCGTTCCAAAACGGGACGAGACGACACGGGGCGCAGGGCGCATGGACGCGCCATGGAAGATGCCAGAGGCGCACTGGAGGATGCGCCGAAGGACGTGTCAGGGGACGCGGCAAGGGACGCGTCACGGAACGGG